TTGTAGGATTTGGAGAGTTTTACTTTGTATTTGATTTGTACGTCCCCATACAACATGGCAATATTCAAGGTGTGGTGCCATGAGTGATTTGTATAATTTGCATTGGACAACTATAAAGTTTGTTTCCAATGGGGTCCACAACAAACATAAAGACAGGAAAAAATATAAAAAATCAGCATTAAACATTTTCATAAAAGCATTTTAAATAGAACAATTATTAAAAATATACTTTAAAAAGGCAAGTACGAATTATAGAAAACAGGAATCAAAGGCAAAATTAACAGTTAACCCAGGTTTGTTAAGGTTTGTGCTCATCAATGCCAAAGCCAGCTATTGGGACAGTCCCACACAATTTTTCTATTGGGTCCACAAAGAATGGGTCCACATTTTTAAAAATGTCTGAATTATGCACAAAATGAGTCTACTAGATTTCCACCAGATTTCTCATATTTTGCATAAAAGGGTTAACTTCTAAGAAAATGGGTCCAAGTTTTTTCATATTTTTGCATAAAATGGGTCAACTTTTAAGAAAATGGGTCCACAGTTGAATTTACATGTCAAGTATGTCCCACCCTGATATTTTCCCACACTGTTTGAAAATCCTGGTTACGGCACTGGCGCTAATCCTTCCTTTTTTACAGTAGACGCCTATCTTTAATCAACGTTTGTGTAAGATGGTCCCTGATATCTACAGTAGAAATAAAAAGGCTCATTTACACTGTACTACAACATTATCAGGTCAACACATTCATTTAATTATGTATTAAACGATTAGTTTCTGTGTGATCATAAATTCACAAGACAATACCATGTGGACAAAGATTACTATATAATAAACATCTCCACTTCCTAAGCTTCAGTTTAGAATGAGACTTTGCTGTTACAAGCATCACATTATTAATATATTGTACAATATGTTTAAGAGGGAACCTGAATATCAGCTGACCTTTTAGGATATGTTAGACAGGGTTCCAGTCCCTAAACACTGTCTTAATCAGTGAAAATGCTTTAAAAAAAATTGATTTTAGCACCAATGACGTTCCATATCACTTATTTGCATGGCGTTCCATAGTATACTTTTTACATTAAAGGTTTCTCGACATAAACTGACGCTGGTGGCGCTTTCTGAAATGTGGTTATACTACTAAAAATCAATAAATTAGAGATTTGTGGCAAGTCTAAGGATATGCTGGAAGGGTCACCCTCTATAAATTTGGTGAAAGTTTAAAAAAATTTTTAATAATAATATAACAGAGTTAAGAAGAAACGGGAATTGTTGGACAGGATAAAATGGAGAAGGAGGCTAGCATCACTGGCAGGCAAAAGCCTACCTGGGAGCTGAAGTAAGTAAGAATATAACAATAATGATAATAATAATAATAATAATAAAAATAATTTAATTATTATAATAAACTAATAATAATTTTATACCACACATCCCCACCCAAAAATTGGGCGCTCAAGATGCAGTCTTAAAAATGTTTTCTTTTTTCAAACATATCATTTTTTTCTCTTGCTTGCAGTATCTTATGGCTTTCTTTTATCTAAATCTTTTCCTTTCATTTCACCTTTCCTTTTCTTTCCACATTTTTCTTGCTTTTACTTTTCTTTCTGTCATTATATCAAAGTTTATCTTTCTTTCCTCTTTCTTATTGTTTATTTTCCTTTTCTTTCTTTTTTCTTATCTTCTCTCTTCCTTTTCTTTTTTTAAATCTTTTTATACTGTACGATATGCAACAGGAAAAATTAGATTGCAACCAACAACCAAGAGAAACCAGAAAAAGTAGATCATTGAAAAATACCCAGGTCCCTCACCACAAAAGGGCTTAGTCAGCGTGCCGTCTAACAAATTGCCGTTTGGACGGCCAACAAATTGCTCAATGTTTGAGGAAGAGTTACAGATCAGTAAGAGAGAATTTAAAAGCGTTTGTAGAGTACAGTACTGTATTCGATTTTAAAATGTAACATTAAAAAAAAATATAGGGAAAAGAAATATATAAATTACATAAATACAAGAAGCAGAAAAGAAAAACAATGGTATGGTAAATTAAATGAGACTTTTAAAGGATTGTAAGGAAATAGAATGAATATGCTACCTAACAATTAAATTTTATTTGGTTTTAATTCATCTGGAAGAGAAATCCTTGACATGTAACTTTGTGTTCCTCAGAAATAAAGTGAAATACTGGTAGTTTATAGAAGCTTAAAATTTAATAATCATCCATAAATACCATGTATTGTAGGATGATTATAATTACGCAAAATGTACCTCAAGGCAGATAATCTTCATTAGTTTCAATTTCTATGTCTGACAAGTGACAATAAAATATATCTGTATCTGTATTAGTTTACTCAATACAAAAAATACACATTTTTACAGAAATCATAATTATCAGGTTTTATGGGGATGAGACAACAAATATTAAAGCAATACCATCAAATTAATGACGACACAAAATAACAATGTACATAACCAACAATGCATTAACTTGATAAGATGCACACCTTCAATTGTTATTGCAGTGCAATAACAATTTTAATAATTTTAATGATAGAATATTTTACAATTTTAAAAATTTGAACATAGATGATTTGTGCAATACATTAAATTATGTACCTTGGAATTTGATAAATTTTGATGGAAATATTAATGATGCAGTTGATCTTTTTTATGATTTTTTAATTGCTGCTATTAAGGACGTAGTTCCTAAAGTTAGAAAGAGAAGGAAATTACCGCCATGGTTCGACAAAGAGCTACATAATGTATTATATGAAAAGGAAAGGTGTTATAGAGTTATGAAGAAAAATAGTAATCGTCTGACAAAAAGTAATTTTAGTTTCGCTCGACGTTCATTTAAGAGTTTATGTAGAAGAAAATATAATATTACCTTAAATCACTGGCAGAACAAATTGGTTCAAATAAAAAGAGATTTTGGAGTTGGTTAAAATGTAAACATAAGTCAAGTGAATTTCCTTCAGTTATGTCGCAGGGTAATGTTTCTGTTGAATCTTTTTCTGATAAAGCTACTTTATTTAATACTTTTTTTCATTCATTTATTAACGATTCATTTTACATGGGATGCAGGAATGCCCAGATCTTCCAGACTATGTAATTGACAATATGTCAACAATGGTGATAGATCAGCATTCTGTTGAAATAGCACTTGGCAATATTAATATTTATAAAGCCATTGGCAATGATCAAATAAGTAATACTGTTCTTAAAGCAGCCGCATCTCCACTCTCGTATCCACTTTCCAAAATTTTCCAGCTGTCCATCAACTCTGGAATTTTTCAAGCTACTTGGAAATTTGGTAATGTCTTACCTATCCATAAAAGTGGCTCGAAAAAGTCAATGGAAAATTACCGTCCAGTATCTCTGCTGCCTACTTTATCAAAATAACGAATTGTTCATGATGCGGTTTACAATCATTTAAGTTCAGTTATTACTCCAGTTCAGCACGGGTTCATCCCGGGAAGATCATGTTGGACCAACCTTGCATTGCTTCTTTCTACAGCATACAAGGCCTTGAATAGTAAGAAGCAATGTGATGTGATCTACACTGATTTTTCAAGGGCATTTGACTCGGTCCCCCATAATTTTCTTATTTTTAAGATTTCAAAGTTTGGGATATCGGGTATCCTTTTGAAGTGGTTTTCTGATTACTTGACCGATAGACATCAGAGGGTGGTCATAAGTGGAACTTGCTCCGAGTGGCTTCCAGTACTTTCTGGAGTTCCGCAGGGGTCAATTCTTGGCCCGTTGCTTTTTAATTTATATATCAATGATCTCCCTTCTATTTTTAAGTTTTCTCAATCACTTTTGTTTGCTGACGACCTAAAACTTTTAAAAATAATATCCTCACTTCAAGATGCTC